AACAGCTGCACCTACAGGTGGGAGACTGACCACCTGGTGACCTGGTGTGGTCTGAACAACTTAGAGCTCAACACTCTAAAGACAGATGGTTGTGGATTTCAGGAAGAACGTAGCCCCACCAGCCCCTATCACTGTGTGACTCCCCCGTCGACGCTGTGGAGTCCTTCCGCTTCCTGGGCTCCGCCATAACCCAGGACCTCAAGTGGGAGCTGAACATCAGCGCCATCACCAAGAAGGCTATGCAGAGGATGTACTTCCTGAGGCAGCTGAAGAAATTCAACCTGCCAAAGTCAATGATGGTGTACTTCTACACAGCCATCATTGAGTCCATCCTCTGCTCCTCCATCAGAGTCTGGTACGCTGGAGCCACTGCCAAGGACACGGGCAGACTGCAGCGCATCATTTGCTCTGCCGAGAGGGTGATTGGCTGCAATCTGCCATCCCTCCAGGACTTATTCTCTTCAAGGACCCTGAAGCAAGCAAGAGAGATTGTAGCCGACCCTTCTCACCCTGGACATAGACTGTTCGTGCCCCTTCCATCTGGCAGGAGGCTGCAGTCCATCAGGACCAAGACCTCACGCCACAAACAGTTTCTTCCCATTGTCAGTCAGGCTCATTAACAGAGCCCGGGTCCCCCACTGACTCATCCCCAGGACAATTTCCTACCCGTCACATCCTTATGTTTCTTTAAACACATTTAACTCAGATACAGTCCCGTTATGTTTGTTGTGCACTTTATTTTATATTGTTTTGTAAATTTTAATATGTTTATTTTGTGTTGGTACTTGGCAAAAAAACTTTTGAATGGCATCCGTCTGTCATTTTCCAATGCATCAAAAAATATTAATGGCTGCAATCATACAATTCCTGTTTTGATACATCTGGTATTTGACACGTGTCTACTAAAACAGGAGTAATAGTTTGAACTAAATCAAAGCTCAAGACTTGCATAACTTTGAAGCAGAATGGCCTCACTAATGTACATTTAGATGTAGAGAAGTTTCAACATCCATTCCAGACTTGAAACATCTTGTGACATTGTACATCCTCAGTGTACAGTTTACAAAATTACAGGAGTGAATTAATATACAGACGTAATACACACTTTACAGTGAACCATATTTCTTGCAGTTTTGAGTGTCAGCAGTCCTCGCTACATTTTAACCCTTCTGTGGATGCTTCCATCACAGTGATGAAACAATCACAAACTAATTCCCGAGGAGATGGTGCATTCACACTGGAAACATTTTTAGGTATACTCGAAGCAGACAGCATGCAAACTAAATAATCTTTTTGATGTGAAAACTAGAGAAAGTTGGTGAGACACCAGAAAACTGTCTAGGCTCACATTATCTTTTTAAGTTTACACAGTAGTATTAAGGGTGAAGTTTGTGCAACTGCTTTGTTCCAAATGCATACAACACTCACATTTTTGTACCAGGAGGAAACTACAACATTGAGGTGGCCAAACCACATATTTAAGAACGCAGGTGTATTCAGCTGGTTGCAAGTCTGGAACCTCTCGCTTGATGCCACTAAAGCTTACACACTGGTCCTTTCAACAATGTTTATTTTTTTTACACCATTACATATACAATTTAAAAAAAAAAAAAAAGTATGCAATTTAAAAATATAGCTTGATTAAGTTAGATTTCAGAGTCATTTGTATCTGAAAGGGCATTTCCAGTTGCATTTGACATTTTGGTCACATCCACAGTAAACTGAACAGTTGGCCTGACATCGCCGAGGGCTGCTGAGCCGTTTTTGTCCAGCGCTGCTCCCTCTGATTTCAAGCTGACGTCAGGGGATGTCTTTTCTAGAAGAGCAGAGTCTTCTACAGCGTTTTCATCTGTAATTAGAGTGAGTTTTAATTCCCATGCCACAGTGCCATTTATTGAAAATAAGTGTTAAATCTTTCCATATTTTACCTTCGAGATCTGTTTCACTTTTGACATCTTCATTCTTCTTAGAATCAAAAGTCTGAATCGTCGCCTCGTCTGGTGTAGATTGCGAACCAAGAAGCAGTCCCTTCTTCTGATCTAGGATAGAAAT